GGGAGCCCGATGTGGGACTCGATCCCGGGACTCCAGGATCATGACCTGAGCCGAAGGCAGTCGCTTAACCAACTGAGCCACCCAGGTGCCCGAAAAGTAGGTTTCTTAACCAGTCAGTGAACCAGTCAGCTAGTAAAGCATGGCTAAATCCCACATGATGAGGAGACAAAAGAAAAGACAACTTGAGCTTTAGTCAGATATTATTTTTAAGACAAAGTAGGAATACAACAAAGGATTTAAAACTCTGAGACGGAGATAAAATTGGTCTGCTTTCCGACTTCACCCAGTTATACCATTTTGATAGAAAAGCTGCACCACTACAGGTTTACTTCCTAGGTTAACTTGCAATTTCAAGATCATGAGTAAGGGCAACTGTCTCTTTTACTGAGCTCGGGGGAAATCTAGAAATGCTTCTTATCATGGCGTGGAAGGCTCTCTCAGCCCTGTGAACCAATAAAACATTTATCTCCTTTTCTTAATACACTAATTTAAGGGCTGAAGTAACATATATTTTTAAAAAGTTATTGAGGGACACCTGGGTGGCTCAGTTGGTCAAGCACCTGCCTTTGGCTCAGGTCATAATCCCAGGGTCCTGGGATCGAGTCCTGCATTGAGCTCCCTGGCTCAGCAGGAAGCCTGCTTCTCCCCCTGCTGTGCACGCGCGCTCTCTCTCTGACAAATACATAAATAAAATCTCAAAAAGAAGATTCATTTAAAAAGTTATTGAGATTATATCTTGTTCAAAACATCAAATGAGGAAAAAAAAATCTGAATTAGAAATTCCTGACTTAAATCTGAACATTCTAATCATATTAAGTCATAATTTACATCTCTCCATGATCTAAAAATTAGAAGTTTGCCTTATGGAAAAAGTCTACAATGTACTCTATGATGTTCAGAAAAAAACAAAACTTAGAGCAGCATTTCCCAAAGTGTGTTTCATGGGCTATAAATAGGGTCTATGATCAAATAAGTTTGGGAAATACTGAATTAAAAAGAGTTAACCAGGCTTTTTTACTCCAGGCCTTCTTGAGGCCCTTAATATATTTACATATTTACATTTCTATGAGAAAGATAGTATGCAGCATTTCACAACATGATTTGTCCATGGAACCCTTTTTTCATAGAACTTTTTATGGAACTGGTATTTCCAGGACATATTTTGCAATATATCTAATTGGAAAAATACTACTGGGGAAAAGTATTAAAATAATAAATGGTTAAGCACTGTGGCTTAACCTTAAATTCTCAAAGAAGACTAAGTCATTCATCCACTCATTGGAAAAAAAAATCTATTATCGAGCATTTAAAACAAGCAAGGGAGCATTACAGGAATGGTGAGATAAACTCTAGAAATACCTTACCATACCTTTCCCACCTTCCCACTGCAACACATACACACATACACATAGGATACAAATTTAAGTGCTCCAGGAATATTACTCAGTGATCCGCTAGATGGGCAAAAGATTTAATTTTCATTACAAAAAATGGAAACAATCAGAAGCCAAATAGTAAAGCCACACAGAACAATTTTGAGAGATTTCTTTAAACTTTCCAGGAAAAAAAAGGATTTTCAAAGACCAGATGAAAGAAGGTGGCTCCCTTGCTGCACAAGGGCTCAATTGCTCTAATCACTTGGTCCATCTCATCTAAAGCCCATGCTTTCTCTCTTTATTCTGGGTCTGAAATTCTGGGCAATGTAACATCAGTGGGGATGAAATGCATAAGGAGTGGTTTACATCTGGAGATGTAAAATTGGCACAATTACAAAGACTGAGTTTGGAAGAACTGCAGGGAGCAGGAAACTTTCTTGTGCTAGATCATCTAGAAATCAGACAACCAGGCAGCCAAATGAGGTGACCTCTCCTTAGACTAGCAGATCCACTTTAGACAAAACCTCCAGAAATATACTATAGGGCCATGTCCCAGATCTTCTGTTAGAGTCTAAGAGGAGGACATGAGCACCCTCTAGTCAGATGAACCAGAGAGAGGCCATGAATCCAATCTAGAGATAAGCACCCCAATTACAGAGACAAGGATATACAACCTCCAAACATAAGTAAAAGAGGAAAAGCAAACAAAGGAACACATGTGCCATAAAAATACTATGTGATACAAAAACATAGCATTCAAGAAGTAAAAAGAAAGAGCAAAGTAGGAGAAACAGATATAAATAATTGTTCTGTATCCTTTATAATGTAAAAAAAATCTAAAAGAGGTGAAAGATAAAACAATGTAATATAAAAAGAGAAATGGCTGAGACAGAAATTGGAATGGAGCTAGTAAAATAAGGGGAAAATACTGTATAAGGAAATGAAAATGCAGCAGCAAAACAAATGACTTATTAAAGTGATAAAAAGCTGAAAATTTTGAACATTGTTGAAAAATCAGATCAGATACCCTTAAAACTTTCTACCCCGGTAGGTAGAAAAAAAAAGAATAAAGGGGAAGAGAAAAGAGGAATGTGAGGGATATGGAAGACTGACAAAAACATAAGAAAAAATGGGTGTTCCAGAAGAGTAACAAATAACACAGAGCCAATAATCAAAGATATAACAGAAGAAAACCTCATTCAGCCAAAGACAGACCTAGGTCTACAAAACAAAAGGTGGTATTTTCTAACCAAGTAAAACTAATAATAAAAAGAAACGAATACCTAGACCTATTCAGCTGATAGTTGAATATTTGGGAATAAATAATCATATATGCATCCAAGTGAGGGTAGAAGTATGGGAACAGAAAGGTTGAAGAGAATGAAGGAAATTCATAACTCTTTCTCAATAGCTTTTGCAAATGCATAACCATTAAGTAGCCTTTTTTCTTATTAGCCAATGTGGGACAGAAAGTCCAAGACATGAAATTGGCGTAGACACAGCTTTGATAAAACTCTGCTCTTCTCTCTTTACATTAGCATCTCCTCCAGATAGAGAAAAGGAAGAAAACCATAGCATTATATGACAATCCATATAGCAGATATTTAATTTATGTTATATTTTGAGATTTACATATAAGTTAATTTATATATGTTATATATATAAATTATATATTTATATATAATTCCACAGTGCCTTCTAGGATAGTTTCAAGGACACTTGCTGGCTTGAGACAGACTGTTAAAAAAAAATAGTAACATGCCAATCAAACGGGAAATAAAGTCATATAAGTTGATTTATCCAAAACTGCAAAAGACTAATAAATATTGCATCTAAGTGAACTTCCCGAATAGCAGAAGCTTATTCCTTTAAGTGCCAAACACTTGTAAATGTTAGTCGTTATAACAGAAATCTTTCTGAAAGATATACTTCCCTGACTTCTCAAACAATTCCCTTAAACATAATATAACATCTTGATGATTTAGTATTGAGTATTTAGCTTTTATATTATAACACATTGATGCCCTCAGGATTTTTGAGGTGTTTGTCTCTCTATTAAATTTCCCTCATCTTCTATTTCACACTTTAATCTTGTCTATATCATGCTGTTCGGATTTAATGTCTACAGAACTGAAGTCTGCCAGGAGAAACTAGATAATAAAACCTATTAAATCAGTAACTTAATTTTACACAATTCTAACTCAGTAGGTTCAAGGTAAAAAGGAGCTGGCTCTAATCTCTTACAAAACAAAATGCATGAGATTAATGATAGCCATTTCCTTCTACTTTTTCACTGCCTTTTAGGTTTACAGCTGTGTTTTAGGTCTCTTAAGTGCACAAAGACAACTCACATTTCCTGAGCTCCTTCTGTAGGCCCAGAAATTTAAACATATCTCATATATACCATGAAATAATTCTAAGAGAAAGAAGGCATTTATTATATCCCAGCACTGGTGGAAAAACAAACCTTAAAACAACCAATTTGCTCACGGCCACATAACGAGTAGACTGTAAAAGCCAGGACCCTAACATAAGTGATTCCAAAGACTTGCTTTTTTTCAACCATTTCACCCTGTCTCCTAGAAGGATGTTTCTCAAAGTATATTTCAAGAATCACCAACTATGTTAGATCTTGCATGCTAATTAAAAATACAGAAATGGCTACTACTTTGCACTTGCTGTATGGAAATCTCTGGGAGTGGCTCCAGGAAACAAAGTTTTGGCAAGCATCCCAGGTGATTCTGA